AAACACATGAAGCCTCTGAAATGAGATAAAATTCTTGTCAGTACAGTGTATCCAGTTTTCAAAGAAGCTAGAGCTATAAACCTCTCATCAGAATTCTCAGAGAGAACCTGATTCAAAACAGATTAAGCCATTATTCCAGAGCTTTGTAGTTTATGAACTTCTCTGCCTTTGGGAGCCTCTTTGTAAATAAATTCTTGGTTTTCTTGTAGCACAATGAGGTTGTTTGTCCAGGAGCAGATTTTTTCCCCCACTGTGTTTTGGCTCTCTAAGCTATTTTTTTCCTTGCTTCTTTTTAATAAAATGAATTTTAATCTCCTTGTAATTGGAAATGTTTTGTACTAAAACACATGATTGCCAAGAATAGTTACTCTGATGTTGGTGATGATGATAATAATTAAAATGAATAATAATTTTGAACATATATTTATTATGAACCAATGCAGTACGTAGATTATTTTGCCTAGTCTTTGCAGCAATTACTATGAGATAAGCTTTATTATATCTATTTCATAAATCAGGAAACTGAGGCAATGAATGCTTAATTAATTTGACTAAAGAAACTTTCAGGAGCTCTAGTGGCAAGAAGCGTGTGGTTTGAGGGCACCAGCTGCTCTACAGTGGAAGGCTAGGCCGTCTTTTCCATTATGTTTTATTGCCTCTGAAAACCCCTGAGGGTCAGCTGTGGGTTGGTTCTGACTTTATGGGATACAACAACAAAAAAGAAACTCCAGGGAACTCTGATGGTATACTCTGTAGGAAGTGGTGCTGCTAAACCAAGGCAGTTCAAATCCACCAGCAGATTTGTGAGTGAGACAAAGATGGACAGTCTTCGCATGCAATTTACAGTGTCAAAAGACTTGGAGGATCAGCCATGAGTAAGTCCCAACTTGAAGGCAGTGAGTTGGGTTGAAAGGAACTCTGGTGATCCAGTGACTGTTGTGTTGGGCAGGTTGACAGTTCAAATCCATCAGCCACTCTGAGAGACAAAGGTAGGCATTCTCTTCCCATAAAGATTTACATCCCCAGAAACCTAGTGGTGGGTTGTTGTGAGTTGGACTCAACTTGGTAGCATTGTGTGTAGGGGGGAAGTACTACAGTGTTGCAGACCGAGGGTCCCAAAGAATAGAATAATTTTATAATTATTAATAAAGAGACAAACAGCCAGGAATGAGATAGAGCAGAGAGCATAAAACAGGGTCAGCAGTTCTCGACTGAAGACCTCAAGCCATGCTTCTCTGAGTATTTATTTAGAATCATAAGATAATAAAAGTAAAATCACAAGGAAGTACAAAACAAAGGATACTGGTGAAGTCTTTTACAGATAAGGCCAAGTTCCTCTTTATGTTAATCTCAAGAGGGAGGGATTCATTTGATACAAACTGAGAACAATGTTGACTCCTAGGGAATGCCCCAGTGCCACAAGGTGACCTTCCTCTTGTATTAAGCTTCCCTCATTTCCCGATACAGCATTTGGTCTACTATTATTAAATTTTATATTCGGCTTCCCTCACTACAGTTTGTGAATGATAGAATCAGGATTTGAGTTCCTTTTCTATGACCTGAGGGCCATCTCTATACAGCTCTTCCAGTTTCTACCAGTGAATCACAGTTTATAAATGAGTGAAAGGTGGTGATTATGGGCGATGCCCACACGTTTTGTGGAACTTCTGACTCTTGAGTTTTTAATGTTCTTCCTTTTCAGATCAAAGAAAGTGCATCACAGACAAGGGATGTCCTCAAACAGCATTTTCATGATTTAAAAGGAACCCTTGAAAAGCTCCTGGATGAGCGGTTGGTAACCCTTTTGCAAGAGGTGGACACCATTGAACAGGAGACCATTAAGCCACTCGATGACTGTCAGAAGCTCATAGAGCATGGAGTTAACACTGCTGAGGACTTAGTCCGAGAAGGTGGGAGTCCAGGAGCCTAGAAGGATAGCTCTTTGAGAGCAGCACTTTGCTGATTTCTCAGGTTATCAGTAAGCTTGTTGCAGAGGACGGGGTACTTGGGATGTTCCTACCATGGGACAGGTTATACTATGGGATGTTAGATAAACATTCACTTACTGCAGGGTAAGTGAAATTGAAGTGTTACTTATAATCATTTACAAAACAAGAAGTAAATAAGTTTCTAGATGGTTGTGTAGTATGCTCTCATTCATTGTCAGTATAACTATTTTTAAATCATTATACATATGTTGGAATAGTTTTCAGAGTGCTTATAGTTAATGGAACTTAAAGGTTTCAAACTTGTGATAAGTGTTTACTCTTGAACTTGGAGTTGTTAAATTTCTTATCTGTAGTTAGTTGTTTTGGTGATGTTTTGTCTGCATTTTGCCTTGATGCCTGCCTGCTTTGAGTATAGGTCTTTGTCAGGCACATTGAATGGAAAAAGTAAGATGAAATAGATTCCTGCCCTCACGGTTCACATCCCAGCAAGAGAGACACATTCATTCAGAGGTCAAAGACCTGTGGTGTCTGGGAGGAAGCTCCTGACTGTCTGAACAGTCACGGATAAGCTCTGTAGAAGTTCCACAGAGGCTCGAAGGAGCCATCAAGCCGACAGAGAAAAAGCAAGTGTGAGCGCGAGCAGAGCATGGTGATTCAGTGGTCTGTAACATATTTCAAGCAGCACAGTTACACAATGAGATTTGTTTGTTTTTGTTTTTTTTAATGATGTATACTGTAGCATGAAGCATGTATTAAAGGTCATAAGCCTGGTGACAAAAGAGACTACTTAAACAGCTCTCTTAGTAACTGAGGTTTCAGAGGGTAAAGGTCACGACAGGAGAGGGTAGGGCAGGACTGCTCTGAAGAAACTTTTATGGTCAAGAGTTACTGATTATTTTAGTAAGTAAATGTTGATGTTTGAAGATTGCCTGGGTCAGAAAAGGAAGCATTTAAGACGACTGGGTGAATGGCCGGCAGCCCCCGGTAGCATAGTATGCAGGGAGTGGCATTAACCCAGAACTGGTGCCTGCCTCTCTGCTGGTTTGAATCTACCAGCCACTGTGCGGGAAGATGGGTCATCTCCTGCCATCAGTTTACAGCCTTGGAAACCCATGGGGGGGGCGGGGGTCAGCTATGAGTTGGTTCTGCCCTGATGGCTGTGAGCTATAAGATGAATGGTAGAGGCCCTCCCTGGTGGCACAGTGATTAAAGTGTTCAGCTGCGAACCAAAAAGGTCAGTGATTCAAATGCTCTAGTCACTTCTGGGAGAGTGATGTGGCAGCCTGCTTCTGAGAAGAGTCCCAGCCTTGGATATGTTCTAGGACAGTTCTGCTCTGGCCTGCAGGGTGTCTGCGAGTTAAAATCCATTTGACAGCTATGGCTTGGTTTGATTATTTTGGTGAAGGATAGTATTGTTTACTGAGATAGGCACCAAACGAGGAGAGTGACTGATGGGCTCATCCAGTGTGGAGCATGTTGAGAATGAAGTGCTGAATGGAGGTTGGGAACATAGATTTGAGGGTGTACTTTGAAAGGTCATACCTGAAGTTGTCAAGACAGAAACTCATTGCTGTGGAGTTGGAACCAACTCTTAACTGACCCTCCAGCAGGATTCCAGAGACTGTAAATCGCAGGAAAGAAGAAACCGTGTCGTTCTCTCACAGAGTAACAGGTAGATTCGAACTTTGGGTTGGTAGCACAGCTCCAACCTAGGCCACCAGAGCTCTGCACATCAAATGTGAACCCATGTGCATAACATAAGTAAAATAGTGTAGCGGTAGTTTACAACATGAGAAGAAAAGGCAGTAGAGGGTAGGAACTCTGAGAGACACCAACATTTAAGAAGCAATTAGAGAAGAGGATCTGAGGATGGAGCCTGAGTACCATCCATCGTGCAGGCTGAGAGCTGTGAGCATCAGAGAAAAGTGTGGTCGTGTCACAAGTCCCTCCCTCCAACTGAAAATTAATCTCCTTTCTCTTCTCAGTTCACTTAGAGTACAATACTAGTGTTCATCTCTACATGCGAATGAAGTTTGTCTTCTCTTTATTGAAAAGCATTTATTTGCCACTGACATACAGTGCCTTTGAGAAATCTTCTTAGCAAGCAGGACTACAGAATGTCTTCCTCTGGGGACTTAGAATTGAGGAACAAACCCAGAAACAGTTGAGCACAGGTCAGGAATCTGCACACATCTCCCTGGGGACTGAGAAGAACCCAGAAACAGTTCAGCACAGGTCAGGAATCTGTACGCATATCCCTGAGGACTGAGAAACAGTTTCATTTTAGAAAACCATATGAGGCACATACATTTTGTCATACTAGTTCATATTTGAAATATTTTTATACTTAAATAATTTTCATTTCAAACTCTTCCCACCCCACCTCCCCAGGGGAATAAAGACTGATACCGAGTTTTGAGGATTCTGAGACACTATTGACTGTATTTCTGTTTTCCTTTTGATGAGGAAGAAAGTCTTATCTCAAAAATAAAAAAACCAACTTATTTTATCATGAATGTTTATTTAGAAGAAAAAGAGTTACCCCAATGCTCTGCAAGGCACTGAAATTAGTTCTTAGGCCTCGTATAACAGTTCCTTTTACTGTTCTGTTGAATACTTTCTAGTCTAATGTGTGGAATGCTTTTAGGGAAAAAACTGCACCATTTGACTTTTTAAATCCCTGTGCCCTGTGTCAGGGTGGTACCCTGTACTCATTGCTATTTCAGTTGATACAGATTTAGTAGGAAGTGTAGGAAAAAGTCCCTGGGCTTTCTGTTTTGCATAAAATTACTTGACAAACCACATTTCGCTTGTACAGGGCAGAATATTTCCTCTCTGGCAGAATGTTGCTATGTGTACCTCTTTTCTTCTTGGCCTTAACTGTAGAATCATTTCTGAAATAATTTCTGCTTTCACTTCTTAGAAATTTGACTGTGACGTCACTTAAGAATGACTTCTTAGGTAAACCAGAGACTCAGGCAGACCTGGTGTGTGAATGTGCCAGGTGCTGTCCATTTTTCACTATCCTCGTTCTCTTATTCCTGCTTGTAGGTGAGATGGCCATTCTTGGTGGAATAGGAGAGCAGAATGAGAAACTGTGGAACTTCACTAAAAAGGCCTCCCACATTCAGTTGGACAGGTAAGAAGAATGAGGGCCTTTTGGGGTGTATATATATTTATTTAGAAATTTTATTTTATATTGATTTGTTTACAAAATCCATATACATTGTATTTCACACTAGTTTTCATTTACATTGTGTTTCATACTATTATTGCCATTCACTATGTTTTTAAAATTAATCACCAGTGAGTTTAGCCCACCATTACCATGTCTTTCCACATCCCTGTCGAATGTTTTTGGGGTGTTATTTGTAAGCTTTCAAATTGTCTCTGCTTCCATCCACTTCCCTTATTAAGGGATTAAGAGAGGTAGAGAATGTAGAGTTTTTTAAAAGGTAAAATAATAAAGATAGATTTATCCATCCAAAGGGATGGACCTCTGTCCTTGAAAGGAAATGAGGAAAGAGAGCATGCTAGTGAGGTGAGGCTAATTTATGGCTTCTTTCTTTGTGTGGGACTTGAGACTGGGGTCTGGGCCGGTGAGACGATGCCACGAGAGTTTAAAGTTTAGTGTGTAGTTTCACTGGTCCCTATTCTCTGCCATCAGAGAATGTCCATTTTAAAGTTTTACTGCTTATTGTCTGTATTACTAGTATGAAGTAGTGATGATTATAATCTTTGGTATGATAATACTCTTAAGTTTTCTTCAATTTCAATGTGTAAGAATGATCAAATTTCAGAACATTTGAAACAGAGTCACATCCCAGTAAACCAGAACTTTGGTGTAGACCTGACTAATTTTGTTTCTATTTACTAATTTTCTGTTTCTGTTTATTTGGGAAAAGACTCTTTCTAGAACATCTTGTAAAACCTCCATTTCCAGGAACATTATTTAGCAGCCCTTGGTGTAGTGTGGACTGCTAACCAAGAGGTTGGCAGTTTGAACCCACCACCTGCATGTAACTCTGTGCCAGAAAGATGGACAGTCTTCTCTATTAAAGATTTACAGCCCTGAAAGCCAAGTGGAGAGGCCTGTGGTCAGAACTGCTTCAAGGGCAGTGGGTTTGGGTCAGCATGCATATGGCTTGTGACCAATCTAAAGTAGTGCTTATGATTTTTAACTCTCAGTTAAAAAGCCCGTAAGTATCTGAGCTTTGTTTCCTCAGCTTACCAGAAGTGCCTTTACTGGTGGATGTGCCCTGTTTGTCTGCTCAGTTGGATGACTCAGTTCTTAACATCGTGAAAGACCACATTTTTAACCATGGAACAGTGGCATCGCGCCCACCAGTGCAGATTGAAGAGCTCATAGAGAAACCTGGCGGTATCATAGTACGATGGTGCAAGGTACGTAACTCAACGTCAGTACAGGGGGCTTTGGCCTTTGCAGTTGAGAACATATTTCCAAAAGCAAAAGTATCTATTGGTTTACAATTAAAGTCACAGGGAGCCTAAAAACTGGTGGTCTTTCCAGTTCAAAAGAAACCATTTTTTTTAGAAAATATTTTTTTTTAATTTTATAATTTTTTGTGTGTACCATCATATCGGATCTGACTGGTACAGGAGGAGATTGTACCTCCTTCTCCAGTAGAGCATATGGAGGATTCGAACCACATACCTCTAGGATTGCAGTTCAGCTTCTTGCCACTAGACCACCAAAGCTCCCTAAGAAACTTTTTTTTTTAATTATTATTTTTTTGTACATGTACTGTCAAATTGCATCTGACTGGTACAGGAGGAGATTGTCCCTCTTTCTCCAGCAGAGCATCTGGTGAAACCATTTTTAAAGTAATTAAAAAAAAATCACAGCATTGTTTTCTACAGTATGTTCCAGACTTAACACCTTAGTGAATTGATGATCTATTTCGTTTTTATGAGAAAAATTAAAAAAATTAGTATTAACTACAAGATATTTTATATTCAAGAGGGAACACTGAGAAACCTCTGAAAGAAGGCTCCTAAAGTATGATTTCTCCTTATTGATACTGCCAAGAATTTTATGTCTTTAATCATAGTTTGTGTATATATTATACATAAACATATGGTGGCCTACTGGCACGAAGCTGCTCTGAAATCCCAAAGGCACGGAATTCGAGGCCACCAGCTGCTCCATGGGAAAAGGATGGGCAGTCTCCTCCCGTGTGATTACCTCTGAAAACCTGCTGGATGGTCAGCTGTTCATTGGTTCTGAATCTACAGCACATAACAACATATATATATTTTAGATAGAAACCATGGCTGAAGGAGTCATCATTCAGAAGTGACTGTTCAGCTTGTGTAAACTAGTATCTTAAATGTTTTTAAATGAAGCCTTTGTATAGAAGGAAGAAACAGAGTCTGTTGTTGTTCAAAATAGGCTTTTATTCTACTTTTGTTCTTTTGCTTATCAGTAGACTTGAGTTATTTCCATGGGGGTTTTTTTGGTTTATATTTTATTTTATTAATTTTAATTGAGTTATTTCCATGTCTTATTCCCCCTAAAGTATACACTTAGCCATAGAATTCTGAGGTCTTAGAGAACCCTGTGTCTACTGTTGTTGTTACTGTTGTGTATTGTTGAGTTGAAACCTACCCATAGCTGTCCCTCCAGTGGATATATTCAGAGGCAATTTAATTGCACATAAGGAGATTGCCCATTTTTATTCTGCGGAGCAGTTAGTGGATTCAAACCCATGTGCCTTTAGGATGACAGCACAGCTCCTTACCATTAAGCCACCAGAGCTCCCTGTACGCTACTGCATAATAAATACCAGACTCTTCTCCTACTAGCAGTGTGTGCATTCCTCTCCGTCCGTATCAATACTTGACGACATTAGACTTTATAGTTTTATGAATATGGCATCTCATTGTAGCTTTAGATTATATAGTTTCAGTCATATTATATTAAAAATCAGGTTGGTATTTTAATATAATTAGGTAGACTAGAATTTTTATTCAGGTCTTTTGTGCATTTTTTTAAATCGGTTTGTTGTCTGTTCATTTTCAGAAATCCTTTATATAGATATATTTTTAAAAATTTTCTCTTTTTCCCCCCTTTAAATATTCTGGGCATTAATTCTCTTGGTTAGTGTGTGTAGTTGTGGAATACTTTTAATCAAATTATGAATGGTTTCTCTTTGCCATTATTGCCTAGAAAATGTACTATTTCTTCAAAAGAGATAGACATTTTGGTCCATTAAAGAAAAAGAGAGGGAGTCATCACAGCGGTCTGTTCCCACTGGCCTTCCCACCTGTATCCCACATCCAGCATGTGAGGCTGGATACTGGGTGTAAGTGCCCATTTTAAAGTTTTGAAGCAGTGATGCTGGAAGAAGTTAACTAGCTAACATCATGCCTTTCTCCTGTGGTTGACTCACTAACATCAAGCCTTTCTCCTTAGGTTGATGACGACTTTACAGCCCAAGATTACAGACTCCAGTTCCGTAAATGTACTTCAAATCACTTTGAGGATGTATATGTCGGTACTGAGACGGAGTTCATTGTATTGCACATAGACCCCAATGTTGATTATCAGTTCAGAGTCTGCGCCCGCGGCGATGGCCGGCAGGAGTGGAGTCCGTGGAGCGTCCCCCAGACAGGGCATTCCACGCTGGTGCCTCATGGTATGCTGTTGTCTTCTCATTCTTGAAGCTTAGCTAAAGTTAGAACACTTGTACTCTGTGTTGCTAAGGGTGGTAATGCATTGACAGCACTTTTTTCCTGAGACTGAATCCTGAATTGAGAGTAACATGAGACAATCTTACTTCTTGCTCAAATTATTTTATTTATATTTTGAGAATTTTTCATCAGCCCTATGTCCAGAGTCCAAAAATAATGCCAAGTGGGGGTAGTAGTTGTCACCTAAAGCCAAACATAAGAAATATTGCAAAGAACGCTGATTTTCCAAAGGCAGTTTAATTGCAGGGAAGGAGATTGCTCATCTTTCTCCCACTGAATAGCTGGTGGATTTGAACCTGTGTGTCTTAGGAATGACAGCACAGCTACTTACCACTAGGCCACCAGAGCTCCCTATCCTAAACTCTAGATAATACCAGACACAAAGAACACTGATTTTTTTTTTTAATTTTTATTGTATTATTTTTATGTGTACCGTCAAATCAGATCTGACTGGTACAGGAGGAGATTGCCTCGAGATTGCCTCCTCCTTCTCCAGCAGAGCATCTGGTGGATTTGAACCACATACCTCTGGGATTGCAGTGCAGCATCTTGCCACTAAGCCACCAGAGCTCCCTAAGAACACTGATTTTAATAGACTTAGATTCATTTGGTGATTAGTTCTTATTCAGGTTGAGATAAGCTCAAGTAATTACACTTTAACAATGATTTTTTTTTAGGCAGGTTACACTTACTTGATTTTCCATTACAAAATTGTGCAGGAATATACTGAAATCCTTTTTGTCATTTGTGAGACAGACCCTGACATTCTGTCCCTGAATCTTTTATTTCATTGAAGTTGCCCATGACCCCTAGAGTCCTCTCTCCTACTTCCAAGCTTTCTTTTGTGCATCTGTGTTGAAAATGCTCCTTAAAGATTATAATTCTTTTTAATACCTTTCCTTTTAAAAAGAATGGACAGCTGGCTTTGAGGGGTACAGTCTGAGCAGTCGAAGAAATATAGCACTCCGGAATGATTCCAGTTCATCGGGTGTTCTCTACTCCAGTGCCCCAACTTATTTCTGCGGGCAGACACTAACGTTCAGGCAAGTAGATAATGACAATCTCTGTGTGTCCTGCCGTAGAAACTCCAGTGAGTGTGTAGAGCATTCATGGGCTTTGGATTGAAAATAGTCCTGAGTGCATTCCATCATTTAGAAATTTATTTACTCTGGAGAAGTTTTTTATTTCTCTCTGCTTCTGTCTGGTTGTGTACTAATGGGATTATTATAAAGATTAATAGACAATATAAAGGGGCAGTGTGTGTGAAATGCTGTACTTATTCCTGATAAACACAGTGGCGGGGGGGTGGTAGGTGCTGTCAAGTATGACTCAGAGCGACCCTCTGAGCAACAGACCTGACCCCTGTCCTGTCCTGTGTGGTCATCTTCATCATCCCTGACACACTTGAGCCCGTTGCTGCAGTCACCGTGTCCGCACATCCTGTTGAGGCATTCACTTATGTTGGAGTCTCTCTCCCTGCTGCTGAACAGAAGGAAACAGAATATCTGTCCTTCAGAAATGAGTCTTAAAAATTCAGAGGCCAAGAATTTCTTCTCCTTTTGTGAATTAATAGGAGCACATATGTATGAGAGACAGCTAATCAATGTGAACATGCTCTGTATGTGGGTATATGTAATTCTCTGTAAAATCAAACTGAAACAACACTCTCCTACCACCAGTTAATTTTTTCTCTCTATCCATTTCTTCTTATAATAGAAAAAATGTCAATCCTTTTTTAGAAAGAAATCTTTCTAGAGATCACAGTCTTTTGATTTAGAAAAGTGAGATTTGCCAGATTGTCATCATACTCAGCCCCGCATCGCACATTTTTAATACGTTTTAACTCTTGAGATAGTAGGTCTGAGCTTCACTGAGCATGTTTGCCCCAGATTCTTCCTACTCCCTTGTCTCCTGCTCTGTAAGGCGTGGAGAGTATCTGAAAGTTTGATCAAAGCCAGTGTTTCCAGGTTCTTTTCAGCCAAATCATTTGAACTCAAATGATCTTAATATTGATCTCAAATGATTTTTTTGTTTTTCTTGTTGTGTACCATCGAATCAGATCTGACTGGCATAGGAGATTGCCTCTCCTTCTCCAGAGGAGCATTTGGTGAATTTGAACCATGTACCTTTGGGACTGTAGCACAGCTTCTTGCCACTAGGCCACCAGAGCTGTCTTTCAGATTAATTTTTGAGCAGTCAGTCAGAATGTCCTTATTTCTGACTTGTCTCATCCATGACACCTACCCTCAATCTTTTATTTTTTTTTAGATTTGCACATTTTATTCCTCTTTATCTTTTTTAATATTATTTTATTAATTTTAATGACCATTTACAGAGATTTTGGATTTCCACTCATTCACTGTTGTATTTTTCCTCTTTATCTTTTATATTAGACTCTCAGATCTTATGTTATGAAAAATTACTTTAATAACTAGCAGAATACCAACAAAGAGTGAAATAAGAAGTCTAATAACTAAAGTCTGTTTAATTATTCCCTAAGTCCTGATGAGTTCTCCTGCTCGCCACCCTTTCTCTGCATGCATGCCTTGTTTACAGAAATACTTCCATTAATGAATCTCTAGGGAACAAGGCTCTTCTGCGCACTGACAGCTTCCTGAATTGTTAGGTTCAAGCTAGATAAGCTTAGAAAGTAATTACCATCATTACAGTCATGGTGATAATTGCAGTTAATGTTTAAACAGTATTTACCTTGTGCCAGGTATTGTTCTGAGCACTCTCCTTGTATTAATTGACTGAATCCTTGGAGTAACCCAGTGAGGTGGTGTTTCTAGATTTTTAGGATTGAGAAAATAGACACTGAGAAGTTAACTTGCTCCCCCAGTGTCATACATAACTGGTCAATAGCAGAGCTTGGATTTAAATTCAGGGAGTGTGGCTCCAGAGTCTGTAGTTTTAACTCTTGGTCTTTTTTTGCTTCTCATATATTTTTTTCATGAAACAACAAACATGACTCTGTCGGTGGTATTGTTAGGTGCTGTTGAGGGAACTGTAACTCATAGAGACCTGTGAACAACAAACAGATCTGGACCTTGCCTTGTCCTGATTCTTCCTCATGTTCCCAGTGTGTTCTAGCGCTTTATTATAGACCTTCTGCCCAACCACCTTGATTCTGGCTGGTGCTAAGTGTGATGTTTTCTGCTTCTACATCCTCAGGTAATTTGCTTTTCCTTCTTGTAGGGCCTTGTGTCCTTTGATGATGGTGCCTCCTGCCTCTCCTGAGGGCCTCCTGCTTTTAAGTTCATCCCCTTCTAAACACAATAGATAATTTACATACTCAGGTGTTCCTTAAATCAGTCAATATGTTTTTCTTAAACAAGATATTGGACATTACACAGGTTGATTTAAATCCACTCTTAACATCTGTAGACAGTGGCCCAACAGTTGGTTATTAAACTCATTAACCCATCAGTTCTGGCCCTTGTGCCCATCCTGTCGAGGCTTTGAGAATTCTGGAGGTGTATGGCTGGACACCCTTGTCTGATTGAGTAACCAAAACTCATTTATGCTCAGCATTATCTTAACCAGATTTTGTCATTTCTTGTCTTTGAATGTAGAATGAAACTATTTTCTCTCCTAGTAAAAGAATTTCAGACTTCAGCCATTAAGTCAGAAGATGTAAAGGGCAGGCATGCTTCTGCCTCAGGGCAGGGGCGGATGAGCCTGGCTGCATGAAGGTGAATGGATTTAGCTTTGTGAGAGCCAGAGAGCATCAGCACCCAGCCAGTCAGTTGCCGCCCTCTGCCCAGCCCTCTCTCCCCTTCTTTTTATATTTACTGTGATTTTAAAGAAAGTTTACAGAAAGGTTGGGTTTTCGTTCCTTCTGCATGACGCCTTTTCCTGCCCCCACCTCTCCCGCCTCCCCCAGGCCAGCTGACAGTGCACTTCTTGTTCAGATTGTTGTCACCACTGTCTCCCCTTCTGAAGTTTCTGGAAGACAGAGCTGCTGAAGCTGAGAAGCCTGTGTCGCTGGTCTCTCCAGTCTCCGGCCCACTCATGATTGAGCCTCGGTTAGCTTCCCCATGACTTCCTTCCCCCCACGTGCTGCTTTTCCTTACCTGCTTCTAAGATTTTCTGAGCTTTATATTTTTATTCTTTCCTTTCCACCACCTCTGTTCTCTGAAACCATTTCTTTACCTCTGGGTGTTACCAGCTCCCTGTAATCCTAATTGTCTAGGAGATAAGCTGTTATTTATTGCCTTTCCTGTGCAAACAGAATAACGGAGGCACACACAAAGAGGTTGATTAATGAATGAGTCAGGATTCAGAACCTAGCATTCTGTCCCTGCAGCCTGTGGTCTTAACCACCTTGCCGTGCCACCTGGTGCTCACAGGGGACACTAGAATACCTGTCCTTTTATTTTGAACTTTTTCCTTTTAAGAAAAAAAAAATGATGTTCTAGTTTCCTAAGGTATCATTGCAAACCACTCAAGAATGTACAGGCTTAAAACAACAGTAGTTGGGGTTTTTTGCTCCTGAAACAGCCTTTTGGTCAGAGCTCAGTACAGCTTGCATCTGCTCCATGTGACAAGGCGAGGGAGATTCACACAGGGAGGGTGGGTCAGCTTCCACCATGACTCAGCATGTACATGTACATGGCACATCGGTTCTGCTTCTTACCTCATCTCCGTGTAGACCTCCCTGTGAACTGCTCTGGTTTCCACAAAACCTAAAGTGGACTCGGCCGCAGACTGATCATCCAGTCACAGAAGTTGATCGGAAGCACAAAGAGATTGACTAGCCAGAATTCAGAATCTAGCAGTCTTAACCTCAAAGCCTGTGCTCTTACCTAACATTCTGGCTGTTCACAAAGGGAGCGCTGGTGTCCGAATGGTAAGACTCTGCACTGCAGTCCTAAAGGCATGTGGTTCGAATCCACCAGCTGCTGTGCAGGAGAAGGATGGGCATTCTCCTTTCATGCGAGTTACTGCCTCTGAATACCTGGCAGCAGGTCAGCTATGGATCGGTTCTGACTAGACGGTACCCAGCAACAAGAAGAAGATGCGCAAATGCTGCAATCCCAAATCCTCCAGCTGCTTCATGGGAGAAAGGACGGGCAGTCTCCTGTGTGATTAAATGCTTCTGAAAACCCACCGGGTCGGTTCTGACTCGACAGCACACCACATCAGCAATGGTTAAGCATTAGCACCACTTTTTCTGGATGAATTTAAGTTTGAGACCTTCACTTTTTTGTGCAGGCCTGGTTTCTACTATTACCAGGTGTATTTGTAATACTAATTGTTAACTTTTCACATTAAAAAATACCAAGCCTAATTTAATCACTCCCAGGAAATTCCACAGGGACGTGGTTGGATTTTCATTGGACTCTACCAGGATTAATTTGTTTTTAACTAGTCTTTGAAAGCTTAGAGGTGCCCCCATGTATTTAGACATGTTGAACAGTCCCGGGGAAGATACAGCTTTGCCGGGCTTCATAGTCTGCCCTAGTGATTCCCCTGTAGAGAGATGGTGTACAGGCCTTTCAGGGTGAAGCTTGGCTCTTGTTACTGTTACGGGAAATGTTGACGGAAATTTTCCCTCGCAGTTCCCTTCATTAAAGACATGGAGGAGAAAGGCTGCTGGTTTCCCAAGTAGGTCCCCTTACAGATTTCAGCCTTGCCTTTTAGTTTGCTTGTGGAGAGAACATTACAGGAAATTCTGAAGGCAGTTCTGCTTTGGAATATTGACATAAAATAACTATTTCTTATAGATAATCTGTAAGAAATAATTATTAGACTTTTTTCCCTACTTACATACTCTCTGTCTTACACTAAAGTACAAGAACAATTCTCCTGATCAAGTCTACTCTTCCAGTGACACAGGTCACGCCAGTCAATCTTCATGTTGCTTAGATGGTATTTATAATATTAAGTATTACAGGAAATACACAGTGTTAAAAAAGGCAGAAGCCTTGATTCAGTATATTGTTGTTGTTTGGTGGTGTTGAGTATGATTCATAGTGATCCTGTAAACAACAGATCTGAACCCTTTCCTTCCCTGTGCCATCCTCATCTTCTCTGATACACATAAGCCCATTGCTGCAGTCACTGGGCCAGTTTTGTTGGGAATCTTCCTCTCTTTGCTGACCCTCCACCTTTCCAAGCATGCTATCCCTTCCCAGAGATTAGCCTCTCCTAGCAACACGCCCACAATTTTGAGATACAGAACTTCACCGTCTTTGCCTCTAAGGAGCACTCTGACTGCGCATCTCTAAAGTACCGTAAGAAAGAGCCAGATTTTATATAGAACGAAGAGGAAGGAGAGGTTCCTTCTAGATGACAGAGTAATGGAGGTTTCTTCGCAAGTTGAGCTGGATATGGCAATTTAGGTGAAACAAATCAAGAAACAAAGATATGGGAGTAGAAAAATTACAAGAGTAAATGGTAATTAGACTGGTTAGTAGAGGTGGAAATACAGTCAGAGAGATTGCAAAAAGCAGAGCATTCTTTTGAATAGCCTGTGTTGCACTTTCTTCTTTAACTGATAAAGACTTGAGCCCTCACTTGAGGGTATTTGATACCACACAGAGAAACTGCCTCCATTTACCCCCAGCAAAAAAGCTTAATAGCTTTACCAGCTGAACCCAAACCTGCTTTAGGTTTCATTAGACTTCTCTTGAATTCACAAGTTGAACTATATTGTACAGAATAAAGGTGGTCAGCTAACATTTGTTAGGCCCAACTGTGTGCTAGTTCCAAGCACATAAATGACTTTATTTATGCAAATATTCATCACAAGCCCAAGAGATAGACTCGTTTTATAGTTGAGGGAACAGAAACATAAAAAGAGTGAGTGAGCATCCTGCTTTCTAGTTACACAGTTGGTGCAAAGGCAGAGCTGAGATTCCAATCCTGACAGTCTTTTGGCAGAATCTGTAACTTTAACCATCACTCTGTGCTTCCCTGATTGTGTTGAGCCTTGTAGGATTCTCCTTTCACGCAGAGTGAGATGGGAGGCCGATGGATGATGTACAACTAGTGAGTGACACGACCTGGATTATGTTTGAAAAAATACTTGGCTCAACAAAATGTATGCATGTATATGCATATGTTGTTGTTGTTGTGGACCATAGAGTCGGAACTGACTCACAGCTGACTGGTTTTCAGAGGCTGTAAATCTCATGGGAGGAGATTGTGCAGCCTTCGCCTGCAGAGCAGCTGGCGGCCTCAAACCATGTGCCTTCGGAATTGCAGCACAGCTCCTTGCCACTAGGCCACGAGAGCTCCATGGATATAAATACAATTTAAGGATAAAATGTCATTCTGGCTTAAGTTTCCCAAAGTGGAAGGTTTCAGAATGAAGGTGTTACTATGTACCTACTGCTCCTAGAAGTTCCTGTTTTCTCTTGAGTACCTACTTCAGGGAGCTCTAAGTGGCTTAGTGGTAAGAACCTGTGTTGTAGTCCTAAAGGCACATGGTTCAAATCCACCAGGTGCTACACAGGGGAAAGGTAGGCAGTCTCCTCCGAGTGGTTCAACTGCTCCTGAAAACCTGCTGGAGGGTCAGTGACTATGGGTTGGTTCTGACTCAATGATACAGAACAATAACAACAACCTACTTTAGTAGATCTTTCACTCCCACTACTCCCTCAAGAAAAGGAAAAGGAAAATCCTTACACCTGAACCAATAGGCAACATCATGATAGATGGAGAAAAGATGGAAACTGACAATGATTTCATTTTACTTGGATCCACAATCAAATATCAAATACTTATTTATGGTAACAGCAGTTAAGAAATCAAAAGACGTGTTGCCTTGGGAAAATCTGCTGCCAAGGACCTCCCACAATGACACAGAGCAAGGGAGTCAGCTAAAAGACCGATGTGCACCTCATACAGGTCACGCTGTTTTCAGTTGAACATGAGTAAGGAAGACCCAAGAAGAATTGATGATTGTTTTTTTCTATAATTATATTTTATTAATTTTCATAAACATTTACAGAGATTTTGGGCTTCCACTCATTCATTGTTGCACTATTCTCTCTACCCTCCTCCCAGTTTGTTCTTGTCCAAATGCCACAGTGCTTGTCAAAGCCAGTTCTGATTAATCTTCTTTGTCAGTGTATCCTTTGCCATTCCCTATCCCTCCTCCCTGAGAGAGACTTCACCCTGAGTCATAAGGAAAAGGGGACGGCGTATTCTCTTAGCTACTTCCTGCTGAAAAGGGATGCTGTGGGTTTCAGGGTGAAGATCTTCTCTCACTACTCTAAAGGGCCCCTTTGGCAGTAGGAAACACATAGACTATTATGGAGATTGATTTTGGAATTCAGATGCACTCTTATTGATTGTGCTTGGCTGTACATGTACATATCCTTGAAGATGTATCATGGGGGTGTTGCAACCTAGAAGACACAAATTTGACTAACAAGTTATAAGTACATGAGTCCAAAAATTATGGAAAAGTAAAAGAAAAGATTCTTTCATTGTTTTACAAACCCTCCCCCAGGTCCCCTCCACCATGCAGCCCTCGCTCTAGTCTCCTGTGATGACAGAAATACCCAGTTACATCTCTCTTTTAGACGGTTCTCTCCCTCCTCTGCTTCAGTGCAGTATACATTATTGAACCCATCTTACTCAGTGTCTCCCTAACCCCAAGGACAGTCCCATTCTACAACAGTGGCATCATGTAATATTTGTCCTTTTGTGACTGGGATATTTCACTCAGCATAATGTTCTCCAGAGTCAACCATTTTGAATAATATTGCATGAGTTCCTTGTTTTTTAATGCAGCATAGTATTCCATTGTGCGAATATACCACAGCTTGATTTTAACGTGTGGTGTTGGCAAAGAGACTTGCGTACCATGGACTGCCAAAAGATGAAATTAGCCTTGGAGGAAGTGCAGCCAGGGCAGGTGCCCCTTAGAAGCAAGGAGAGTTAAACTTTCTCACATACTTTGGGCTTGTTGTGAGGAGGTATCAGTCCTTAGCAAAGTATATCGTTGTGTGAAATGTAGAGGGTGAGCAGAAAAGAAGCTGACCCTCGACACGATGGATTGATAAAGTAACAAACAATGGGTATTGTGTGAGTGATTTATAGGGTCTCTGATTCAGGCCCTGGTCTTCTCAGTCACCTGCTATGCATCAGAGAGCTGGCCAGTGAATAAGGATGACAGAAGAATTGATGCCTTTGAGTTGTGGTGCTGGAGAAGAGCCCTGAATATCCCATGGACGGTCAAGAGAACAAACAGATAGGTCCGGGAAATGGTGCCTCTAGTGTTCCTTGGAAGCAAGGATGATGAAGCTTCGTCTTTCATACTTTGGACATGTGGGTAGGTGAGGCTGCTCATTGGAAAGGGACATCATGTTTGGAAAAATGGATCAGCGAAGGAAGGGAAAACCCCCAACAAGTTGGATTGACTTCAGCAATGGGCTTAAGTGGTCAGAGATGATGAGTATGGCACTGGATAGAGCAGGGTTCAGTATAGCTAATAATAGGGTCGCTAGGAGTTCTGTTCAACTCCAGTGGCACCTAACAACATCATCAGTCATAGTGACTGCAGCAGTGGGCTCAAGTGTGTCAGGAAAGAGGAGGATGACAGGAGAGGGTTCAGATCTGTTGTTCACAGGGTTGCTGTGAGTCATACTCGACCCAGTCTCACCTACCAACCATAACAACAGTTGTAGATTGGACAGCACCTAGTAACAACAAAAACGCTCTGAAACTACTCATGCCAGGGTCACTAACGGCCTTCACTTTATAAACCCAAAGCTGTGCTCTCCTTTTTTTTTTTTAAACCTGGTCCAGCTGCAGCATTTGATAAAATTGATTGCTGCTTGGTCTTGGAAACACTTCCCTCTCCTGTCTGCAAGCACACCACAATCCCCAGTTTTTCCTCCACTATACTGGACATTCCTCCTTAGAATCCTTTGTTACTTCCTTGTCTTTTCCACACTCCTTATCATTAGACTCCCGCAGGGTCCTTATATCCCCACACTCTGGTTGATCTGCCGTTGTAGTTATAAATGGTGAGGGTATGGAGTCAAGCCAGAACACCTGGTTTTGAGATTTGAGACTTGATTCTGTTACTATCATCCAAGTGATCATTGTCACATCATTTAACAGTTTTAAAAACCATTTTAGCTTTTGGGCTTTATGAGACTAATTGACTATGTTCCTGAAACGTTTACAATTTTCCCAACAGTAGCTGATGGTACTGATGTCACTGCATCCATCCAGCTTTTTTTTCCCCGCAATCTGTAACTGAGAGGCCACAATAAAATTATCTTTTTAAAGTTTAAAGTTTATCTCCTGATGAGAGATGAGTATTCTCCTCCTGTGCGATTTACAGCTTCTGAAAACCCACTGGAGTGGCTGTGAATCTGTTCTGATTAGCTGAGTTTGCATATGCATAAAATGGCATAATAGTAATGACACCTGTCTCACAGAAGAACTGGATGTTGTTGTTATGTGCTGTGTGTTATGTACCTGCGACTCATAACAACCCAATAAACAGTAACTCTGAAGCCTACCCTGTCCTGAGCCAGTCTCACTGATTCTGACACACCTACTGCCATTGCCCCAGTTACTGTATCAGTCCATCTCATCCGGGTCTTCCTCTTCTGTGCTGTCCCTCCACCCTTCTGAGCATGATTTCCTTCTCTAGGGACTGGTCCCTCTTGGCCACATAGCCAGAGTGTGTGAGATGGAGCTTCAAAATCCTAGCCACCAAGGAGAAACTTGGTTTCACCACCCTCTTCAAGACAGACCTGTTCTCAGAAAAATTTTTAAATGGTGTTCATTCATTCATTTTTAACTATTAATATTTAGGAAAAAAGCAACTGTGATTCAGTTTGCTCTTTTTAGGTTTAGTAGCTGTTAGCATGTTTTCAAAAGTACAGATTAACTGACCATTCTACTTCATTTACAGAGTTGAAACTGTAGGACAGCCTGACAAAAGAGACAGTATAGGATTGTGTGCAGAAAAACAGAATGGATATGACTCTCTGCAGCGGGATCAAGCTGTGTGCATCAGTACAAATGGTAAGAGACAGATAACGGTCATTTCCCCTGCAATATAGGCATTACTGTAGGAAAATAGGGATCTGTTAAGTATCGCACATTTATAACAGGAGATGAAAGATTTACATGGTAAGGATGTATTACTATTGCTACTGTGGTACAGGCACTGTTTGAAATCCATCATAAATACTAAATCATTTGATCCTCCTCACCGCTCTTTGGAGTATATGGGTAGTATACCCACTTTATAGATGATGAAAATGAGGACACAAGTTAAAGCATTGGCTTAAACTCACAGTTCTAGGAAGCGACTATGCTGGAATTGGATCCAAGTGGCCTGCCTTTAAAGAACCCTGATAGCACAGTGGGTACTTGCTTGACCGCTGACTGAAGGGTTGGCTGTTTGAACCCATTCAATGGCTCCATAGGAGAAAGGCCTGGCACTTGGCTCCACAAAGATTGTTGTTGCCACGTGCTGTCCAGTTGAGTTCACACTGACCCATAACTGACCCTCCAGCGGATTTTCAGAGACAGTAAATCACATGGAAGGAGACTGCCCATCTCTCTCCTGCAGAGCCTCTGGTGGATTCAAATCATGTGCTGTTTTACCACTAAGCCACCAGGGCTCCTTTAGAAGCCCTCGTAATGATTACAGCACAGAAAACCCCATGGGACAACTCTACTCTGTTACATGGGTTTGCTCTGAGTTGAAAATCAGCAGCATCCACTCCTTTCTGCCTCTGGCTTCTGTGTGTGCATGGGATGCTAAACTTGGCCTCCACATAGGTTAGGGAAATTCGGAGAACTGGACGTAGGGTTTTCTCGATTATTCTGTGGTTATTTACACCTCAGTAATATTCGGGTTTTTTTTAATTACTACTGAGATATTGCAGTATTTTGTAAGGTGGAGTCTAGCATTTGAAAGAATATTCTTATTATTATTTACTCCACATGAAATCATCTTGAGATTGTATTCAAGTTTGTAAGGGAGTCAAGTTGCTTTCAGTAACCTCCCCATTGGAAAAGAACCTTGGAGTCTAAAATGAGATTAAGGCTTTAACTTTTTCTCCTACCTTCAAGATAGATTAATTAAAATACTTAACTGCATTATAGATGAACAGTTATAAGATATTTTCTTTATCTGAATTAAGAAATTAGTAATATTAAATATCCAGTGCCATAGAACATTATTATAGAAATTATTGAATAGCATTGAGTTTTGCTGTATGTTTCCCCAAAAATACACAGATATTAAAGTGAAATTAGTTGTACTGCCAATAACCTAGAAATTATTTCACTTCTAGTTCTTGCTCATATGTAAATTACTCTTTACCCTTAACATTTTAGATGTTGTTTTTGTAAATGGAAAATAAACTAATTATTGCTCATATGTAAATGACCCTTTACCTTAACATTTTAGGAGCTGTTTTTGTAAATGGAAAAGAAATGACTAACCAGTTACCTGCAGTTACATCTGGATCCACGGTCACATTTGACATCGAAGCTGTGACTCTAGGAGCCACCAATTCTAATGAAGGCGGAAACTTCAAGCTCCGAGTGACGATCAGCTCCAGTAATCGAGAAGTGGTTTTCGATTGGTTACTTGATCAGTCGTGCGGCTCTCTCTACTTTGGATGCTCGTTTTTCTATCCTGGCTGGAAAGTATTAGTGTTTTAGGATTTGGAATGATTGGCTTTTGTTTTCAGGGTTTCTGACCTAGCTGTCCTCAGCTCAGTCAAGGTGTATTTGATAAAATTGTTGGATTCATCTCTCTCAGTTGGAAATTGAAAGTGTTTACTGGATTCATTTTGGAATATTTTAGCAATAAGATACTTGAATTTTATGGACAGAACTATAAAGCAGTCAATTTTATTTTTAGCACAGTGTTAATGGAAATGTCACTTCACAATAAAATTCAAACTAGCCTTAAACGTAAGAATAGCTACAGAAGGGTCTATGTGTTTTTGCTGGGTTTTTTTGTTTGTTTTGTTTTGAAGTTAGCTAGTAGAACAAAAAAGCTGATAAAATAACTTTATTTTATGAAATGTCATTCTTTAAAAGATAATAACATAAAACTTAGAATAGAATCAGGAGGACTAGACCAGCCAGAAGACAGAGTTCTATGATGTCCATTCATTCCTGTGCTTTCAATGTGAGTATATTGATCGTGTGCTCCATATTCAGCTATTCTGTAAGCAGTGTTGATTTGAATCTCATGATCACTAATTTTTCAAAGACCTAAAAGCATTGTCATTTTATAATTTTTAAAATGCAGATGTCTGCTCTAGTCAAAGTATTTCTGTTTCCTCTTTTCAGTTTAATTCACGGTAGGTTAGAGGATTTTTACAGGGTAAAACAACTTTTGGAAGTCCACTCAGCAGTGTTAACAATTTCACATGTCTGGGATTTGCACGTGTGAGAATGGAGCCTCAGGCATCCGCGTACAGTTGGCCCTCCTTCTCTGCCAGCTCTGCATCTGGGGATGCCGCCCGTCAACGACAGATCGGAAATATTCAGGGCGAAAAAAAAGTCCAGAAGCTGCAACTTGAGTTTGCCACACACCATGGTCTACGCTGAATCTATGCAAATGAACTTGCAGGTGTGCTCTGCTGTGGCGCCTGCCGTTTCCCAGCCCCTCAGTCTCTCTCCAGCGCTTGTCCCGTGAGCATTGCTCACCTCAAATCTTGTTTGCTGCTTGTACATCCTGGCTTCCTGTGAGGGATGGGGGACATGGCTCCTAAAAATCAAGTTAGTAGTTAAATCCCCCTTATGCTAAGAGACATTATAAAATGCTATTTATATAGCATTTATATTGTATTGAGTGTTGTAAGTTATCTAGAGATAAACTATACAGGAGTATGTGCATATGTGCTGTGCCGTTTTAAGGGACTTGAGCATCTACAGATTTGTGTGTGAGGGAAAGTCATGAAACCACCCCTCTTGTGGATACTGAGGGCCCAGAATAGTATTGTAGCATATCACCTGCGTTTAATGTCAGCTGAATAAATGACCTTTTAAGTGAATCAAACAGAGGGTAAATACTTGACCTATTTTTTTAAAAAACAAAAATTTGTGTAAAATATTTATTTGAAGGACTTACTTAGTTTGTAAAAAGGATGCTTTTAACTTGCTATACCAGCCTACAGATTTGTTTTTTTAAAATGTGAATTTTTAAAAACTTTTTTTTTACCAGTATAAGTATTTGGAAGAGCAAGTTTGGTATTTTTGTAAGATAATTTATTTGGGAATGCAAATTCCCTGTTTGACAATCATAATGACCTCTTTACCTTTGTCTTTTATATATAAGTAAGTAGCCTTCCACTTTGGTTAGTAATTGTTAAGATATGCTAGAAAAATATAGACGCCTTGCCCATCTCTGAAACAAAATAAAAAACTAGAATCACATGTGTGTCTGTTTTTCTTCTATGAGATTTGATTAATTTTAAATATACTTTCTATGTCTTTAGCTACATAGCAATACACTTAAACTGTGAGTAGAAAAAGAAAGTGGTTTTCTTGAAATGGTTTTCTCTCCATACCTTTTCAGCCTGTATGCAGAACAGATCATCCAGGAAGCTGGGCTCTATGAGAAGAAGTGTGGCGGCAAGATTGGTGGAAGATCTATTAACAATCTGCGTTATGCAGATGACACACCCCTACTTGCTGAAACTGGGGAGGACCTGATGCACTTGCTGCAGAAGGTCAAGGACTGCAGCCTTCAATATGGATTGAGGCTCAATGTCAAGAAGACAAAGATTCTCACCACTGGACCAATTGGCAGCATCAGGATGGATGGTGAAGAGATTGAGATTGTGAACAACTTTAGTTTGCTTGGTTCCACAGTCAACACTCTTGACACTAGCAGCCAGGAAATCAAAAAGCATATTGCGATAGGAAAGTCTGCTGTTAGGGACCTCTCCAAAGTGCTGAAGAGCAGTGGTGTCACTCTGGAGACTAAGGTGTGTCTGATACAGGTTATAGTCTTTGCAATCACTTGTTATGCATTGGAGAGTTGGACAATGACTAGGGAGGATAGAGGAGAATTGATACCTTTGAGCTGTGGTGCTGGAGAAGAGTATTGAAAGTACCATGGACTGCCAAGAAAACAAACAGATTCATCCTGGTGAGGGTTAAACCAGGCTGCTCCTTGGAGGCGAGGACTCTGGGGCTTCGTCTGACATACTTTGGACATGTTGTAAGGAGAGACAGGTTCTTGGAGAGGGACATCATGCTCGGGAGGGTGGAGGGACAGCGCAGGAGAGGAAGGCCCTCTATGAGGTGGATTGATTCAGTGACTGGGATAATCAGGATGGGTGTGTCAGAGACAGTGCGATTGGCACAGGACAGAACGGAGTTTAGGGCTGTTGTACATAGGGTCGCTGTGAGTCGACGGCACATAACAACAACAACAACATAGTCTTTAACAGCTGACAGGAGGATAAGATGTGCTTTCTTGTGTTTTTATCTGATACTAGACATAGTGCCTGATAGCTAACATGTTTTTGTTGTTAAGAGCTAACATATGCAGTAAATGTTGGATTGAATGAACACAGATAAATGTTGAGAAGATAGACAGCTTCATCTCCCATCCAGATATGAACCAGGCTCACTTAACCAGATCAAACAGCATCAGAATGTAGCCATAGACTAGAACAGTTTTCTCTTACTCCCTTTTTTTCATCAGATAGTTATTAAACATCTTTGTTTATTATCCTTCAAGGGTGAATGGCATTTTATACTTAGGTCTGTAGACTCTTCCCTTTCACAAAAGTAGCAAACATACCTTAATTCTAGAGAAGTTGTTATGTGCCATTGAGTCCCCCCTTCCTGTGGTTTTTCATAGACTAGATTTGCACAAGAAGAGATTGCCCATCTTTCTCTCACAGAGCAGCTGATGGATTTGGACCCCCAGCCTCTGTGTTGATAAAACAACTCATCCTTGTGATTCGGTGACATTGGCTATATTCACAATGATATGCCACCATTATTTCCCAGACCACTAGAGCTGAATTCAAGAGAAAAGTAGAGTATAAAACTTTGGATTCTGAAACAACTTTCAGTATTGCTCACCCTTAAATGGTGAGCTGAGGGGATGGGGGTTGTAATGTTTTGGGGTTTTTTTTGTTGTGTGGATGGGTTTTTTTGGGGTTTGTTTTTGAGGTCCATTAATTCTGTGCAAATAGATAAAGGAACTTAGTATTTGTGTGCAAACACTGAATACTGATTTTATAAAGATCTGGTGGCTGGAAGGAAGAGATAATTTGAGTTATGATAATGGTAAGAGTTGGTATTTAGTGAGCCTCTGCTATGATTTCTTTACTATTTGCCAGTCAGAATGCTAAATCTTCAAAATATTATCATAATTTATACATCATACCTCTAGATATTGTGATTATACATTACAGATGAGGAAACTGAGCCTCAAGAGATGTGAACGTAATCTTTTTAATTGAAATTTATTATTAATTTCAGTAAAAATTTACAGAGACTAGATTTCCATTCATTCATTCATTGTTGCACTTTTCTCTCCTCCCAACCCTCCCCGCTAGTACACTACCCTCTTGGAAAAGTAAAAGAAAAATTCTTTCATTGTTTTACAAACCCTCCCCCAGGTTCACTCCACCATGTAGCCTTTGCTCTAGACTCCTGTCATGACAAA